GGGCTGTAAACCCAAACACGCTACAGCAGAAAGACAAAGGCTCCAGTGAGCCCGCAGGAGATGAGAGACGTTCTGGAAGGGGGGCAGTTCTCCTGTGGCAAAGTCCTGCTTGAGCGAGTCTCCCCCAGGACACGGTTCTGCCCCTTTGCCTTGAGCGAGATTGGGTTAGGCTGCTGCAGACCTCCACCTCCTGTCCCAGGCTCTCGGATGCAGATCATCGTCCAGCAACTTCGGGGCCATGGGGAGGGTCCCACGGGAGGCTCACGCCTGCGTGTGTGTCCCCGTGGCTGAGAAAACTGCTTCGGTTTGAAGCAGGAAGGTGTGGTGTGTGTGTCCTATGTGTCCTTGGGTTTAGGCTTGTCATGTGTGGCTCTTGTATGTGTAACTATCCATGAGTGTGCATGCATGTGTGTGTCTGTGTGTCTGTGTCTCTGTGTGTGTCTGTGTGTGTATGTGTGTGTGTACACGTGCAGGTGTGCATGCGCGTTTGCGTCTGGTGAGAATTTTGATGGTAGTGTACAGGTGTCTGGAGAATCTGGGAATCTAGAGGTGGCTGTGTGTCATGTGTGTCTGTGTTAAGATCTGGCCTTAGGCCACCAGCCGCTGAATTACTCATGCGTAAAAGGGACTGAGCAGCTTGTCCTCATGTCCTCGCATCCCTGTCCCTGTCTTGATAAAGCCCATCCTTCACTTCTGTGCCCTCCTTTACAGACAAGAAATTCCCCTTCAACCCCTCTCTGTCCTCAAGGAAGGCAGTTTCCATCCTCCCCACCTGGGCTGACCGCTGCTGAGCCACTCCCATCCCGCCGGCCCGGGCACGCGCCCTGATCAGTTGTCCCCTGCGCTCACCCCACGCTGCAGCTTCCTTCCACGAGCCCTTTCCTCCGCGTGCCCAGCACACCTCCTGCCTCCCCTTTAACTGACAGGACAGACTTCTTCCCGCGTCTCCCCTTTCCTTCGGCACCAGAGCTCTCGCTTCTCATTGATTCCTCTGACTCGCGACCCTAACACGCTGTTAAGCTGCTCTTTCTAAAATCAATACCCATTCATTGTCGAGCCCAACAGGCTCCTTACGGTATTTGGCTTTTCGGAGGGGATGTCTGCGTTGTGTGATGCGGCCGCGCGCCCCTTCCTGCTTGACATTCTCATCTCTTCATCCTTCTGGTTTCCTCCTTTGTGCCACCTAACCTTTCCGTGGCTTTTACTGGCCTTTTAGAAACCCGTCGAATGGTGGAGCCCCTCCCTTTTCTCTCTCGACATAACCTGGGCGTTATCAGCTTCTCCCTTCCATCCAGCTACCCTCGTCCGTGGGTGACGGGGACATCTCTCTCCCTCATTCATCACTCCCTCCCAAAGACAACACTTTACATGCCCTCCAGAAATCTCTGTTGGATGCCCAACGGCCCCACAAGTCTACCAGTCGACAGCACGCAGCACCTGTGCCCAGAACCCCTGTTTTGTTTTGTTTTTTCCTCTGCCCACTGTCTGGCTAACGGCAGCATCAGAAGTCAGGAAATCCTTACACGGCTGCTCCTTTACCCTGATGTTCCACTCTTTCCCACATCCTGTCTCTTCTCCTTCTAGAAGCTTCTTCTGCTTCTAGAAGCAGCTACTAGGTTGGTCACATTCGTTTTAGCCCCTCGGCTTCTGTTCTCTTTCTTGAGGTTCCCCCCAGCCTGGTGCACTCAGAGGCTCCCCACCCCGGACTGACACATACAAGCGCACACCGTCAGGCGTAAACACGATTGCACAGCACACCTGTCTAGATCTGCACAAGGTGTATGATTGTCAGTCACATCCGATGCTCTGGCTCCTACACTGTCCCCGTCACACGGAAACACGTGGCTTCAGAGCCTGCAAGCAAGCCGTTTAGCACAGACCTGATCAAAGTTAGACGCGGAAGCAAGGATCGAGGTTGGCATTTGTCAACAAACACGTAGTTGCAAACACTAAGTCACAGACAAAGACAAAAACGGAGCCGCTGACATGAAAACACAGCCAAGGACAAATAGTTATTGAGGTCCCTGTCATTGTAAGGCAAATGGCTGGGAGACACAGGCGGCCCGGTCCCCGGAACTCCTTACGGTGCCCACCGTGCAGAGCTCTCTGATGCACATGGAAGTGTCTCTCAAATGAGCCGTTCCCACCTTCTACCCCACTCCCTTCCACATATGCTGTTGCCATTCTGAGGCTCAGGGCTGCCTGCTTCTTTTCTTAGGCACTTAAGACCCAAGGGCTGACACAGCAGTTACTAAGCTTCTGGGATGCCATGAGAGCTGGGGACAGGGACTGGCCATCACAGGCTTGGCTCACTGGTGAGCGGGGAGGCCACCAGCTATAGGGACGGGGACTCAGGAGCCTGACCCCCTAGGTCCCCATGAAGACAAAACTCTCACCCATCCACAGACCTGCAAACACCCAGAAGCCCTTTACTATAAACAATGGAGAGTTTGTGCTGATGACACCGTATGCTTTTTTTTGACTTTCGATACATCTACACATATTGTCATCATGAACTGAAGCCTGCCTTTGCCGGGTCACGGAGCCAAATCACCCACCCTTCCTATTTGCATCAAACTTTTTAAGTCTTTTCATAGTGCTTGCTGAGGCATTCTCTCATTTAAACCTCAAGATTTCTTTTATTGTAAATGAGATTCATATGTTGTACGTATTTTACATATTTTCTATTCCTTTGCCATTCCCTCGCAAACCAACAGAATCTTCACAGATGTTCTGCACATCAGTGTTCCCCAAATATAATCCACTGTGTTTTTCATTGTCTTATCATTGTCTGTTCCATTTTCTCCTTCTCTATGCTGCATTTTGCCTGGTGGGGCTGCCTTATTTTGCTGGTGGTGGTTGGTTGGACGCGTGGGTTTGTTGTTACAGTTTCAACCCTTGTTATTTTCCCTCCATTACATACACAACCCTCCAGTTTTCTGTCTTTACCTGAATAGTAATTATTCCGTCCTCCCAGAAACCAAATAGTCTTTATTTGCACTCATGCATCGAGATTTTAAATGTTATTCTTCTTTGCTTACTATAGTTTATGTAAGATAGGAGGTGCCCAATATGCCGTTCTGTGCTTCCCTACATATTTTATCCTACATATTCTCCCTGCTAGCTTCTGCATCGAGCAATTCACATAGTCTCTCTGAACTTGGTACTCCTCATTAGTCGAGGAGGAACAAGGTTTACTTGAGAACTTAATTGCAAATATGAGAGTGGACACATGTAATGTGCCCAGCAGATTGTCCAGTGCACACGTGAGAAATTGTTATTATTAGAGTAGTCTGTGCTGGTGATTGTGGAAGCAGCCGAATGTGGTAGTCGTGGTTAGAACCTGCTCCTCTAGACGGCATTACTGCTAACTATCTAAGAGTGTCTCCTGCTGATGGGCCCAAATTCAACTTCGCCTTGCATTGAACATTTAGGTAGTTTGCCATTTTTACCCTTTATAAATAATATCTTGCTGAATACATTTCTGCATGCTATTTTATTCTTCTCTCAAATTTAGCATTTGAATGTACTCCTAGGGCTGATATTACCAGGTGAAGGGCTATGTACATTTGTAAGATTTCCAATAAATATTGCCTGATTGCTTTCCACAAGAGGACCATCAAATTACAGTCCCACCAAAATCTAGAGAAAAATTATAGAAGCCTTCTTAGCCTTAGTTGATCTGGTTTCCTGTTAACTTTTCTTATACAGATTTTCCTTTAAAACACACACACACACACACACACACACATTCATATACACGCATACTTTTGCGGGGCATGGATCAATGATGGTATTTAAATATCATTTGCCACATGATTTTGGTAGGGACGTGTTGTCCAAAGTTTGAGACGCTTACATTTGATGGTATATAACATAATTTCGGTGAGTAGGTAGCATGGACCAAGATTGGTTTATATACTGAAAATTATATTCCCCTTTCAATTCTCTTCCAGTTCTCTGATCAGATCAAGGGGAAAGCCTCAGCTTAGTGCAACAACCATTTCATGCCCCACTACGCCTTTCTTTTCTCCCTGTTAAAAAGATCTTTGGGGCACCGGGGTGCTGCAGTTGGCTGAGCATCAGATGCTGGGTTTCAACTCAGGTCCTGATCTCCGGGTGGTGAGATTGAGCCCCACATCGGGCTCTGCACTCAGCAAGGATTCTGCTTGAGACTCTCTGCCCCTCCCTGACCTCTCTCAAATCAATAAATAAATCTTTTTTAAAAATTTAAAAAGACAAAGAGGAGCTTATTTTTGCCCTCGAGTTTCCACCTTGAATTGAATACCGTCATTCGGTCTCTAGTATGTTTATTTTCATGGTTTCCTGCTTTTTATGGAAAGCAATACTGGCACTTCATTTAAATTATGATACAAAGTTTCCTCTTTGGCACATATTTGTGTCATTGAATAGGTAAATTACAGATAGGGCAGAAATTGAACAGGGCTGCTCCAGTCGTCGAAGTTTGGAGCATGTGTGCTCTATCGGTAGTGCATCCCAACAGTTACAACGAAGAGTCCTCAAGAAAACATCAACCAGGAGTCCCCATAATGCCTGACCTCGTCCGGACCTCTGTGACTGCCCCTTCATCTCTGTTCATTTGTGAGTGTAAGGACCTTGCAGTTGGCCATGAGGAGAGTCACTTTTATATCCAGCGGGTTTTGTGGGTTAGTGACCAGGTGAGTAGTCTCCTCGCTGGGCAGACTGAGAGCTGGAATCTACAAACACTGAAGGGCATATAAATCAAGACAGACTGAGGAATAGAATGATTCAGAAGATGGGATTAAAGAGCTTAATGATAGTCATTGTGAATCACAATGTCAGCTTTACTCTGATTCTAACGATGTACTTGCTAACGCTAATGAGGTTTGATAGAATAAAATTAACAATGTCCAAACAGCTGTATGCTTTCACAACAAAGGAACTATAGCTCAGAGCAGACTCATACATTCTTTCCGTGGGGGATTTTAGTCAACTGATTTTGTTGTTTTCTCTTTTAGGATATATTTAAATTTGCAAGAACTTCTCCTGTCCCAAGACAAAAGAGGTCCATTGTGGTATCTCCCATTTTAATTCCAGAGAATCAGAGACAACCTTTCCCACGAGATGTTGGCAAGGTAAGTCAGACAAAAGACAAATGATATAACAAAGGCATGTTTTTATGAAGAGGAGAGCATACACGAGGCAAACTAACTGTGATTGTCTTGATGGCCCCCTGAAAACGGTCTTTATTCCTCTATGATAACTAGCCAGATGGTTTTGCCAATAAGAGAATGACAAAAAGCCATCAAACAACAACAACAAAGTATTTACAAAAAAAAAAAAAAAACAATAACATCTTTTAACATCTTTGAATATCATGCTTTGGAGAGCTACGTGGCAGATAACAGTGCTCAAGTTGTGTCTGGGAGATGTCATTGGTTAAGAAATAGCCTCGTCGCTTTTAAGACCATGTCTAGGCCACCAGCCCAATACTCTCTACTCTACTAGTACAGCAGTGTGATCATCCATGGCCTTTTTAATTTAGATCCTAGTTTTCTTTTCCTTATTTTAGTTTTAAAGATTTATTTATTTATTCAAGAGAGAGGGAGAGAGTGAGTCAGGGGGAGGTGCAAAGGGAGAAAGAGTGTTAAGTAGACTGCACGTGGGGCTCAGAGCCCAATGTGGGGCTCCATCTCACGACCCCACGATCATGATCTGAGGCAAAATCAAGAGTTAGATGCCCAAGTGACTGCGCCCCCCAGGATTCCCTAGATCTTAGTTTTCAAAGATGTAAGTCCAAGAGCACCACTAGGTCAACCCTCTAAAAACTAAACCAGGCCAAAAGAACTAAATCAACTTAACCAGATCCAGAAAACAATGTTGCATGTCTTCAGAGAGTTCCAGGGAGGTGGGGAGAAAGGAAACAAATCCCACCCACCCACCCAAACTCTCTGAGTCAGGCAGCTCTAATTTTAGAAATATCACATATCAGATTTCAGGATGCCATTTAAAGAAGAGACTCTGTGGTTATGAAAGCATAAAGACACTTGTGTCACTTTGGTTTCCCCCTGAAGCTGACCCTGAGACAAGAACTCAAATGCAAGTAGTTTATTTAGGAGAGGAAAAGAATACAGGTAAGGAAGTGAGGAGTTGAGAGAGGGAAGGAAAGGAACCAGTTGAGAGGCCTGTTTATCGGGGCAACTGCGGCTGTCCAACTGTCTATTGGTGACTGCATGGTAATCCCAAGGGGAAATGCTAGGAAACGGTGGTAAGCACACACCACAGGGGAGGGAGCTGGGGTATTTATACACCAACCCCATCCGTCTTTGGTTGAAGGTCTTTCCCGTAGGTGTAAGCTCACCAGCACATCCAGCCTTCCCTGTGCCCTGGGCACGAGCACAAGGGCCTTCTAAGGCCTTGAGGAGACAGCTGGAAGTCTGCTGGTGTGCCCTGAAATGGTGAGATCCAAGGGAGGGGACAGGGCACTGATGGATTCCGTTCCATTACTGAACCTAATATAAACACTTCTGCTTTACAGGCCAGGTTTTCCTTGTCTCATCTTCTGCTCCCATCTCATTTCCTGAACTAACTTTCTTGTCTTGTGCCTTTGAAGCTGACTGTACTTGCTTCTCTCTATTAATAAGTACTCGCAGCATCCTAGGTGGGAAAATCTCCAAAATTCACATCAGTTTACATCAATAAGCACATATTCAGCATCAGCTATGTATAAGGCACTGCATGAGGGGCTGGAGGGTTAATGACAAAAGGCATCAATCCCACAGGATTGCAGAAGAATAGAAAAAATCATCACAAACGCATTATTTGTCCAATACTTTAAAGTGTAAGCACCTTTCATCTATTATGTTGAGTTCTCATAATAACAACCCCATGAGGATCATCTTCCAAAGTGCCCCCTGAGAGCAACAAGTCTCAGATGGATAGTCATCTGTCCGGAGTCACACAGTCAGTTAGTAGCAGAGATGAGCTCCATGCCCACTGTTTGCGATTTCGTAGGCTCTGCTCTTAACTAGTCTGCCCAGCACTACTAAGTACAATTTGAGAATTCTCTTTCACGGAATGAAATGCCTCTGCTAACAATGACTTTCTTTAAAACATCATTAAAATTAAATTTGATTGTTTGAAGGGCACAGACATGCATGCATGCGCGCACGCACACACACACACACACACACACACACACAATAGGATGGATAGAGGGCTGGGTAAATGGATAGACAGATGATAGAACAAGTACAGTAATATGTTCATGGTAGAGTCTAGGTGGTGGCTATAAGGTTGATCGCTGAAAGCCTTTTTCAACTTATCCTCTGTTTGTAAATTTTGTGATACAATGTTAGGAAACAATTAATCTTAACTGAGTACAAAATGATCCCAAAACACACAGGAATTGGCATGCCGCCACAAAATTATTATTTTGTTTGTCTTGAGCTTCAGGAGGATGGATGGAGACTTCAGTGTCTATGTCTTGTCTTTCTTTTTGTCATATTTTGTCACCACCTGAGTTCCTTAAAAGAAACGGGACTCATACTACAGAGTGAAGGCATCAAAAGCAGGATGTGGGAGCAAATCCATTCTCAAGGGGTCAGGGTTTGGGAGGAGTTCTTAGCTGAGGCTGTGCCATGTAGAACTGTATATTGACAGAAAGGCCTCACGGGGAGCTCTAAGGGTCAGACAGAGTTTTGGCTGATGCATAATTTATTTATCTTCCGAATAATTAATTCGTTGGTAAGTGGCTAAATTACTAGAATTCGGAGACTGCTTTTCCATCATCTCTCTCAGTGCTTCTGGAAAACAGGTTAAAGACCCAATTGTGAACACACTGCCTCACACTTGTGATTTCCTTCCTGTTTCTGAATTCCAGATGGCAGCAAGGATCTGGGGGCAAATGCCCTAAAGAGAAATGTGTAGTTCCCAACATGTGCTTTTCCCCTCCCCCTTCAAAGTGTCACTATTTCAAAATTTGGACCATAAATAATTTCTTAGTTTTACCAACTTTCTCTGATAAATATTTGATTGTGTCTTTAGAGATTTTTGAGTTCTTGGGTCTGATTGATTGAGAGCAGGGGACTTTAAATCTGTGAGGCAGCAAGGAGGTCTTTGGGAGACGTATTTTATTCTGTTTTATATTAAGTTTGAAAGACAAGTCATTTATGAAATGCTTATTAGAGATTCTACTTTCATCACAAACCCTTTCATCAAAACCAATGAAAGTACATTTTACTGAAAATCCTTTTTTTATATCCCCTATAAATTGGTAGAATGGGCCTTTAGAAGGACATCTTTAACCCAGAATGGAAGAAATATGTAATTGGACCATGCGCTTTCCATAAGGGGAATCAACATAGATCATTAGACCAAATCATGAAAACCACTCAACCAGGACTCTGCTTTGACTGTGTCACGAATGCAAGTCATACATGAGGATAATTTATGACAGTTCCTAAATATTCCTCAGAATTCTGAGCAAATGATTTATTAGGGTCCTCCCCACATCCAGGTGATCTATACCTCCCTGCTTATGCCCACCTATGCGAACAGGTGCCAGGGAATCTGGTGTCTCAAAATTGAATCTGCTTTATTCCATTTAAGAGTCATTCATATCACTTTGAGAACACATGGGTGCCAAGCTCAGTCCTCAGAAGCCAGGCCAGAATTCTGGAACTGGACCCCTAGTACTGCCCCATCTTACCCTCCCACTGAAATGTTGACTCAGCCCCATCATACTGCCTGACTCATTCTGGGTAGCCCCCATCAGCCCTCCACCCCTTTTAAAATCCGCTGTTTCACTTTTTTTATTCAAGTCTGACTACATGCCTCTTTCCGGAAATTTACAGCTGTTTCATTTCTCCTTTTAAAAACAACTAGCCAAGTTGCTCAATAGCACAACTTAGTCCTGGCTGGTCTGTAGAATAGAAATCTGAATGTGAGAGACCAAGATGTCCAGAGCTCAATAGTCAAAAATTCTTGTTGAGCTGACTAGCCCAGGTTATTTCTACATTCAGCAAGCCCACGGGTATATATACCAGTCCTATTTCTATGACTTTGAACCCTTTCCTCTTCCTGGGACACACCCCCTTCATCCTCTCTCCACGGGGCGTGTGTGTATTTACATACACGTCCTCACTGCCTAGTGGAATGTGTACACCCTCGCAGAAATTTCTGTGCACACTGCCCAGCATCGTAGCCACTAACCACACGTGGCCTTGGAGCACCTGACGTGTAGCCAGTGCAACCGAGGAGCTGCATTTTTAAATTTTATCTAATTTTAGCTAATGTTAGTTTAAACTTAAAAACTGTTTGATTCGGTTATTGGAACAACTTCCCATGTGAAATCTACCTTTTTAACTTAAATTTTCATCTTAGTGCAGGTCAGATGCTTTTCATGAAAATATAATATCTAAATTGATACATAAGTGTGATGTAAACACGGGATTTCAAAAATGTAGTACAAACTCACAAAGAGCGGAAAATACATCACTGATAATCCTTATACTCGAGCCCTGTTGAAATAAAAACATTTTGGATATATTGGTGTGATTCAAATTAATCTTTTTTTTTTTATTTTGCTTCATTTATTATGTGGCTACCAGAAAATTTTTTAAGTATTTATTTAGCTCAAACTGTATTTCTCTTGGGCAGTGTGAGCCAGAGCCCATTTTTGATTGTGTCTCCCCCCTGGGAATTTTTGTTTGATCTCTTTTACACATTGTTTGGACCTCTTTGTGCTCATGTAACACAATTGGAACAGCAAGACAGTTTCTTTTGTATTTTTCTTATCCTTGTATTAACTGTAACTCCTCAAGTGTAGTGATACAGCACGCAGACTAACACCCAGGAGGGACCCAAATATTCTTTGACTTGAATCCTGGTTAGACCCATGACTGGTTGGATAAGGCATTCGCTGGTTACGGATTGAAGTGATCACAGCCTCGTTTGTTGTTAGAATGGAATTAATAGACCATTATATGATCGGTCCGGATATTTCTAGCAAATTTTAATTTTCCACAATGGCTGTGAGGCTAGCAGATAAATGGGTTGGCAATCAACCATTATGTCCAGTCATATAAGTATCCCTAGCAGATTGTGGGAGATGATGTTGATGGGTTTTGTGTGG